GCAGAGAACCAGCCATCACAGGCCTGGCACTGCGGGAGCGGAATCCAGCTTGGAGCAGCCGGTGTCTGTGTCTGTGTCAGTGCAGAGCTAGGGGGCGAGACCAGAGCCCCTTTCTGCAGCCACAGCTCGGGGGGAGGACGTGCCTCGGACACAGCGGGCCCCCGGTGCACCCGAGGGCGGGCGCAAGGCGACAGGCCCTCAGGGCTTTGGCGAAACGGACGCTGAGGTGTCTGGTTCCCTGCCCCCTTGCAGGGCCAGTACCTGACTGTGGAGCAGCTGACGCTGGACTTCGAGTATGTCATTAACGAGGTGATCCGGAACGACGCCTCCTGGTCCAGGCAGTTCTGCTCCTTCAGCGACTACGACATCGTCATCTTAGAGGTGAGGGCGTGAGTGTGGCAGGGTGACTGCAGGGCCCCGGGGTTCTCCCCGGGCTGGGAGCCAGCAGGGGTTGCCCCCGCGGCTCTGCCGGGTGCAGCCCCAGAAGGAGCAAGGAACTTTCCTGTTGACGGCTGCATCCCGGAGCAGGGCGCCGGCCAGGAATGTGGGGCTGCCCCTGGAATGAAGCCGACGGCAGGAGCCCTCTTGCGGCACAGCACGGCCAGCGACGCCAGCCCTGGGGTGCCGTGTCCTCCCTGGGTCCCGTCTGCAGGTGGCGGTTGGGGCTCCGTGGGGAGCGACGGTCTGGCCGGGAACCTGGAGGCGCGGGCGTGCCAGCCTCCAGCCGCTGCGTTCGCCCGGCTGCTGCGCTGGCCCCGGGTCGGGGGGGAGTTGACCTTCCTGCCGACTGCTCCGGACTTACCTAATCGGAGGGGACAGGCCTCCCCCCGTCGCGTCGCTGCCTCACATCTCGCTTAGTCGGGGGCCCCAGTCCCGCTGTCTGGCCTGGCCAGTGCCCGGGCGCGGCGGGGAATCCCGTGGGCAGGCGTCCTGTGCACGCCAACGCCTGGTCCGGAGCCTGCCGAGGGACGGGGAGGGCAGCCGGGGGGTGGCTTAGCAGCGAGCCCTGGGCTGGGCAGCCGGGGGGTGGCTTAGCAGAGAGCCCTGGTCTGCAGTGGCCCTGCAGGGCTGAATGCAGCCCGGCCCCCTTCCCTCTGCCTGGCACTGGGATCCAGCCTCCCTGGGGTGGCCGTGCCCAGCCCAGCTCCGCAGTGATCTCTGCCAGACTCACCCCCTTGCCGGCACAGCGCTGCCTCCCCAGTCACCTGGCCGGTCCCTCCCCCTAGGCGCGTCCAGAAACCAACCAAGTCATCATCAACATCGGCGTTGACGAAGAGGGCCAGCTGAGGTGAGTGCAGCCGCCGCCTCTCCGGCCCCTCGGCCTGATGTTTTAGGGGAGCCAGTCCCCAGAGTAGGGCAGGAACTCGGGTGAGGGGAGGCCCAGGGGGCTTTCAGGGGAACCCCCTTTACAGATCCCCTCCACCCACCCAGCCTCCGTCCTGAGTGGGCTCCGGGGGGCTCTGGTACCTGCCCAGAGCGAGCCTGGGGCGTGTCCCCCGCAGGGTCCCTGTTCTAACCAGGCCCGTGTCTCCCCAGACCAAAGACCTATCACACCAGCTTGAAAGTGGCCTGGGACCTGAACACCGGCACCTTCGTCACCGTCAGCGTGGGAGACCTCACGGAAGTCAAGGGGCAGACCAGGTGCGTGGCAGGGGGGCCGGATCCTGGCTCCTTCAGCCCTTCGCTGTTCAGATTCAGAGCCTCGCCCTGCGCCCCGAAAATGCTGCCGCCCCAGTTCAACCCCCCCTTTTCCCACCCAAGCGCCCCTCCCGGCGCTCTTCGCTGGGCACCCGGCTGCCTTCCGCCTCCCCTGGGCTGGTGGGGGTGGCCGGAATCCCAGGGCTGCCTGGGGCTTGACCCCCCCTCAGGGCGTGGCCTGGCTCCGCGAGCTCAGTGTCTGTGCTG